GTGCGGCCGGTCACAAAAAGGACAAAACAAACAAACAAATAAAAAAAAACATGCACCCATATCCTACCTTAAATTAAATTGCTCTCTAAGGAAGAGCTGAGTTGCTGCAGACTGGCTGATAGGTTACATTTCATAGACGTTCGTGTAACTTTTTTTTTTTTTTTTTTGGTGGCTGGCCATTACAGGGGTCCGAACCCTTTGAACTTGGTGTTATAAAACTGCTCTAACCAACTGCACCAACCGGCCAGCCTCGTATAATTATTTAAATGAAGGTTTTGCAGTTTTCTTATCATGTTTCGGGACTAATCTTGGTTCAGGTCTTGTATTAAGTTTCCTATGGCTGCTATAACAAATAATCACAAACTGGTGGCCTAAAACATGCATTTATTCTCTTACGGCTTTTGAGGCCAGAAGTCCAAAATCACTTTCACTGGGCCAAAATCAAGGTGTTGGCTGGGCTGTGCTCCCTCCAAAGGCTCTGGGGCGCATCCGTCCCTGCCTTTTCTAGCTTTTGGCGGCCACAGCAATCCTTGGCCAGATGTGGCATCTCTCCAATCCCTCTCTCCCTGCCATATTGATATCTTCTTTTCTGTCTGTGTCAAAGCTCCCTGTGACTCTCTTTTATAAGGACAATTGTGATGGCATTTAGGGCCCAACCAAATAATCCAGGATAATCTCCCCATCTCAAGGTCACATCTGCAAAGACCCCTTTCCCACGCAAGGTAACATTCACAGATCCCAGGGATCAGGACTGATATCTTTGGGGGCCGTTGTTCAGCCTACCACATTCTACCTGGAAACGTTCCTAGGCCCTGAGCACTGCCAGGAGGGACTAATGTTTGGGTGCTGGTGACTCCAAGACGATCCATCCCCAGACTAGACCCTCGGGGACACAGCAATCTCCACTCACCTCCACAGACACCCAGCTGGCATCTCAGAGCTCATGTGACAAATGACAGGCCCCACATCCCCTCCAAAGCTGCCCCACCCTAGTCATCTTAGGACCACTTTCCCCAAATGTAGGGGTCATCCTCGATCGTCCCCAGCCCCTCCTCATTCCACATCCCCACTGAGCCTGCGGCCCAGCCTCTGTAGCTTTGCTCTGAGAGGCCAGCAGCCCTCTGCCGTCTCCCTGCCCCTCCCCTCACAGCACTGGGCATGGGCTGTACTCGTGTCAATCACACGCCCCACTCTCCTTCCCACACCCATTTAACCCTCCAGCACCTTCCCACTCTTCATTCATCCACTCACAGCATCTGTTATCTCCACGTGCCAGCAGGCTGTTTGAGCCCTGAGGAGACGAATATGGTGGCAAATAAAACCATATTTTATTTGGACCTGGCAGGAGAGATGGACAATAAATAGGGTAAATAAGTGTATCAGTCATCTACTGCTGAGTAACAAATTACCCCCAAATTTAGCAGATTAAAACAACAAGCGTGTGTCACCTTCCTAGTTTCTGAGGATCAGGAACCTGGTCCTCTGGCACTAGGTCTTCTGTGAGGCTGCCATCGAGCTGTCAGCCACATGGGGGCTGTGGTCTCACGGGAAGGCTCAGCTGGCAGGGGGTCTGCTTTGCAGCTCCCTCAATGGTTGCTGGCAGGCCTTGGTCCCTTGTCATGTTGATGTCACCAACAGCTGCCTCGTGTCATCATGAGCAATTCAAGAGGGAAAAAGATGTGACAGCCCCTCACTTCTGCCATATTCTAGTGGCCAGAAGGTCATGAAGCCCAGCTCAAGGGGAGGGGATTACTCAAACGTATGAAGTGGGAGGTGGGAGGGTTGGGGGCCGTCTTAGAGACTGCTATCACAATAAGTAAACTAGAGTGTACTCTATACAGTGACAGTATGGGAAATAAGTAAATGAAACAGGAGAGAGGGACATGCACATTGGGCGGGGGTTGACATGTTTTGTACAGTGGGCCTCAGCAGGACTGCAGGGGATGAACCAAGAGAAAGTAGCAGATGAGGCAGGCTTGGCCGAGGGCATCCTTGGGATACATTAGCATAGCCTATAAATCCACTGACCGCCCTCCCCTTGGCCACCGGGCCGTCACCCCAGCCTTCCTGCAAAGCCTGGAGTGGAGCTGCTTTTTCCCACGGTGGCGCCNCCCTCACTTCTGCCATATTCTAGTGGCCAGAAGGTCATGAAGCCCAGCTCAAGGGGAGGGGGTTACTCAAACGTATGAAGCGGGAGGTGGGAGGGTTGGGGGCCGTCTTAGAGGCTGCTATCACAATAAGTAAACTAGAGTGTACTCTATACAGTGACAGTATGGGAAATAAGTAAATGAAACAGGAGAGAGGGACATGCACATTGGGCGGGGGTTGACGTGTTTTGTACAGTGGGCCTCAGCAGGACTGCAGGGGATGAACCAAGAGAAAGTAGCAGATGAGGCAGGCTTGGCCGAGGGCACCCTTGGGATACATTAGCATAGCCTATAAATCCACTGACCACCCTCCCCTTGGCCACCGTGCCGTCACCCCAGCCTTCCTGCAAAGCCTGGAGTGGAGCTGCTTTTTCCCACGGTGGCGCCTCTGCCTGGGATACCCTATGCTGGCACACCCTACCCTTCCTCTGCTTTGCAGCTCAAACGGCAGCAGGTGACCAACCCAAGTGCCCCGCCCTGCAGCACCTGCTGCGGTTCCTGCCTGGCATTCAGCCTCCCTGAGAGTCATGTTTGTTTATTGTTCGTCTCTCCCATTAGGTCTTACAAGCTCTAGGAGACCAGAGACCTTGTCTATGGATCAAGGTGTCCTCGAGGCCTAGGACAACACGAGGCACGTACGAGGTGCCAGGTTAACACCGTGGGATGGATGAACGATCCACAGAAGCTTAGCAAGCTTCTCATCCGGGCTAAAGACAATGCGATGCATGCGGGGGGAGGGGGCAGGGGCTGGGCCTGCGGGTAGAACGTGCGCGCCGCCGCCAAGCCGGGAGCTCGGACACGGCGGGGACTGAAGGGCGCAGGAGGGGGTGAGGCCCGATTAGGCCTCCGCGTGGGCGAGAGGGCCGGCCCCGGGAGCCCCGCCCC